GTTGTGTGTTAAGCTGCTTGCACACAATATACATGGGCTGTTGTTTTTTTATGCTAATACTTTTAAGTACAATGTTAACGCAGGGCTTTTACTGGAGTTGCTCTGGTCTCCCACACTTTAAAAAATATACAGATTTCAAAAGAGTTAAATTAAACATCTAATACTACTTGTAGAAAGCCCCCTCTGCATTTGTGACAAAGGGCTTTATCAATACATTAGATTGAGTCAAACACACAAACTCATATATTATGAGCTGTTGTGAAACGATCTCTTACACTACAGGTCAGGATTAAGGATAAATAAACACAAAGAAGATTACTCCGCCCTGTGCAAAGAGTGTGCTCCTCAACAGATCAGTCATTTTGATGGGTTAGGTTTTCTTTGGCTTATGTTATGACATTTTATTAGTGGTGGCTTGTTTTAGATTCATTTATTTGACCGTTTGAGTTTATTTTTGCACAATGACACATGTTTCCGTATGATTCAGTGTATACAAGTGACACATTAGAACATAAAATGCCCTTACATGTTTCCTTTAGTGAAAAAAACATAGTTGTTGGAAAAATATTGGAAGAGTACATTCAGTATTTTCCCAACAATAGTATTATAACATTCTATAACAATACAACACTATCTAATCTACTTAAGCTTTTTATACTTCGAATATATGAATTTAGGACTTTCTTTTGTTTGTTACTTATTGAGAAGACCTGAACCCTTATTCCACTGAGGGCCCACGTAAGAATCAAAAATGTTTTCGCGGCCCACATTCAACCATAAACAATACTGAGAATAAATAAAGTTCTGATTGGTCAATTCAGAACATGTGACACGTTGTAAATCCAGTAGAACAGACCGCCGTCAAGGACTGTAATGATCGTTGCTAAGGACTGTAATGACCGTTGCTAAGGACTGTAATGACCGTTGCTAAGGAGGATCAAGAAAGAGAAAGGAAAAGAGATTCAAATAAAAAAATTAATCTTAATAATTAAAATGTTTCCACACAAATCATAATGTTTTGAAAATTATTTGGTGGCAAATATTACATTTATATTTACACCCTTTCATATTTTATTTGGGCTTTTCGATGAAGACCGCTCACAGTTAATAAATACAACTGGGGCGAAGTCAACTCGAGCACCAATGATACATTAACACGTGAGTTGTCGGACTGAACTATTCTTCTGGCTAAAATACATATTTTTAAAAGTCAATCAAGGAGTAATCTTAATTTAAGGTGTTTTGAAGAGTAGATTAGTAGTGGCTCACAACGCCATGAAATGGGAAATAATGAGCTCTAACGAAGAGTGGGATTAAAGGAAGAATACATATGCTGCCATGTTGTGTTTTGTGTTTTGTGTCAACCTATTTTTGTTTGTGAAATGTTGAAGTGATCCTACTGACTGTATCTTTATTTCTTCTGTTTTTGTTTTGGGCGGCCCACTTGCAATGCCTTCGCGGACCACTAGGGGGCCGCGGCCCACAGGTTGGGAACCGCTGATCTAGATAATAATCTCAATATTATTGCAGACGTACAAGATAAATGTTGGCGACTAAAACGTAGACAATTGTTTTTTAAATGACTTTTACGTTCAAAAACGTCTCGATCAATTTGTCGACTAATTGTAGGATTGCCACTGTGGCATTACTGCTATATTTGTTATCATAATTACGTTGTTATGATTCATTCCATGTAGTTTTAATATGTAATATGTCCATCCATCCATCCATCTTCTCCCACTTATCCGTGGTCGGGTCTCGGGGGTATCAGTTCCAGCAGAGAGCCCCAAACTTTCTTTTCCCTGGCGACATCAACCAGCTCTGACTGGGGGATCCCAAGGCGCTCCCAGGCCAGCGAAGAGATATAATCCCTCCACCTGGTCCTAGGTCTACCCCTTGGTCTCTTCCCAGCTGGACGTGCCTGGAACACCTCCCTATATGTCATATGTTGTTATTATTACCTTTTAATAAAGTTAAATATGTATTAAGAGGGGCATTTAAATACAGAAATGACTGAGTCTCTCTTTTCGTCACGTTGAGGACTGGAACACTTACAAAAAGGCCCCCTGACGTGTTATGGTGCTAATAGATATCCTGAAGTGTTAAAAATGCAAATGACTGACCCGTAAAGTCTGTTATCTGCACTTAAACATCACGAGTGTCGGTGTTAATGTGATTTAAGAGCGTTTCACCTCCTCATTGTTCTCCTTGTTATCTGCCTTCATCCGTCTCTCCTGCAGCTGATAATCAAACCATTTAGTGCTAATGTGCAAAGACCTTATCTCTCACATCCACAGGCATGACACACGCATGCATCTGCTGCTGCGTTTAAACACAAGGTAAGTGCACTTTTTATTGAGGGAATTTCCCCTTTCTGCAAAAGCACTTTAGTTCCTTTAGAGATTCATATTTAGATTACAAACCAATCTGTGCTTTTAATGTGTAATGCATACTATGTTTTAGTTGTGTTGTGCATTTTAACCTATAGAGTGTCATATACCTTTACAATGCTCTATAAATAAAACATTGTGTTATTAAAGTAGACAGATAGTGTGAGGTATTATTGTTGGTAGATAAAGGATATTGACTTGTGAAATTCACAACCTGGCAGAAAAAACAGCTGCAACTTTAACTGCATTATTGCATCAAATCCAACAATATAATATAGCCTATACATATGTACATTTAAAAGGAAGAATTAGTACATTTATTGTGTTCATTTCAATGCAGGACTTTACGTTTTGTTATTTACTAAAAGTAAAATATGTGTACTTATTCCAGTTCTGCTATAACTTGGCCATATTGAGTGAGTTAGCGCCAGTTCACCACTTCCTGTTCCCTAGTCTCAGAGCCAATGGGATAGCTGGAAATAAGGTCTGTGGTTGAGACTTGAGACAAACTGAAGAGACGGACCACGTTTGGTTCTACGACATTAAATCCATCAGCAGTGACCCCACTGGTGATTTCTGAAGAGTATGTATGTTTGAATATGGATCTGAAGTCGGCGTGACGTTGAAGTCGTGCTGCTGGACTCGGCTGTCGTTCCTTTATAGCATGACATTAGCATTTTGCTTCTGGCGACTAGATTTAGGATTCTAACATTATAAAAGTAGGGTAGACGTGTGGAGATTATCCGGCTGAACAAAACGTGCATTTATCAAACAGGTTCGTTTTCCACGGACATTATTTCACGCTATTTTCTAAAATCCTATGGAGAAATCCCGTTGCTTTTTTATCGAGGGAACCAGCAGCTTACTTCCGGGTTTTAGGACGCGTCCCTGCACCGCTCTATTGACAGCTGTTATATAGTGATAGTGTAGTGGTTACTACCCAGTGTTAATACATTGAATATGCTTTGATTTCTTCAAAAAACTACATTTGTATGGTCATTCTTTTATATTTGTAAGTAAAGCTTGAATGCAGCACTTGGACTGGAGATGGTGAGAGTGCTTCTGATCCCACATAGTCTTGAAACATTAGAGATTTGTGTCAACAGTGCACGTTAGGCTAAAAGGAAACATAAAAAGACTGTTTTTTTAATATAAAGATTTTTATCTGTTGCACATATACAAACACAAATGAAATGAAAAATCCCACCGGCCTTTAAGAGCCTTTAATCTCCCACTCCAACCCAGTCTCTTAAAGTCTGCGTACATATAACACGACTTTGGAAATGTGTCTGACTGCATGTGTACCGTTTCTGTTCTGATTTGATGTAAAGCGTCTTGGAGCATTAGGAAAAGCGCTATAAAAATCCAATGTATTATTATCATTATTATTTGATACCCAAACATTCCCATTGACTCCTGTGGATGCGTTCAAAGGCCACCATGTAAAGTCAGGTTAAGTGTACGCATTCACCTGTTCTGCAAAACCCACTTCTTCACGTCTCTTCTACATCAACATGTGTCCCCTCTTCTTCATGTCACTTCTACATCAACATGTGTCCCCTCTTCTTCATGTCACTTCTACATCAACATGTGTCCCCTCTTCTTCATGTCTCTTCTACATCAACATGTGTCCCCTCTTCTTCGTGTCTCTCCTACATCAACATGTGTCCCCTCTTCTTCATGTCTCTTCTACATCAACATGTGTCCCCTCTTCTTCATGTCTCTTCTACATCAACATGTGTCCCCTCTTCTTCATGTCTCTTCTACATCAACATGTGTCCCCTCTTCTTCATGTCTCTTCTACATCAACACGTGTCCCCTCTTCTCCATGTCTCTTCTACATCAACATGTGTCCCCTCTTCTTCATGTCTCTTCTACATCAACATGTGTCCCTTCTTCTTCATGTCTCTTCTACATCAACATGTGTCCCCTCTTCTTCATGTCTCTTCTACATCAACATGTGTCCCCTCTTCTCCATGTCTCTTCTACATCAACATGTGTCCCCTCTTCTCCATGTCTCTTCTACATCAACATGTGTCCCCTCTTCTTCATGTCTCTTCTACATCAACATGTGTCCCCTCTTCTTCATGTCTCTTCTACATCAACATGTGTCCCCTCTTCTCCATGTCTCTTCTACATCAACATGTGTCCCCTCTGTGGAAAGAGACTCTGAAAGTTTCAGGAACAAAGATTCTCTCTCTTTTTGATCCATTTCTATAAAAACCTGTCTGAAAATGAGCTGATCAGATTTTGGCCACTTTGTGATGTCATAACGATGTTTTGTCTTGTGTAACCATTAGCCAATCAGCAACCAAGGTAACCCCCCCCCCCCCCCTTATCACCTGAATCTCCTCCTAGAGCAACATTGAGTTCTTTGTAACCAAATGTCTCTCAGAGGGGCGTGGGGAGGGGCTCCTTATTTTCATCTAAAGTAACAGACAGAGAATCAGCACTTTGGAAACAGGGCTGAAACAGAGGGGATTGTGGGTAATGCTGCAATGATCTGTTTGGTGTTTCAGCCAATCAGAGGCAGGCTCTGGATATATCTGAGACGTGTAATATAGTGATGAAGAACAGTATAATAAGGGACCTTTAACTTTAAGAGACTCGGTTAGCAACCCACATTCACAAATGTAGAAATCCACGATTTGAATTCTTTTTTTTTTTTTAAAGAGTCCTTCAGGAGTTCATGAGGGGTCTGTAAACTCCCCGGTAGTAGTTCCCGTTATCAGGCATAGCTCCGTTATCCGGTCCCTGTTTGACCCCCGTTTGACCTCCATATCCTCCGTACTCCAGTCTGTGGAGCTGCGGCTCGTTCATGAGGTTATTGATGGAGAAGGGGTGGTTGAAGGAGTACAGGTGTGGGGGGTAATGGTGGTGAGGGTGGGGGTCTGGTTTCAGGTGAGACGCCTCGTGCACTAGCATCGGATACAGGTGAGGAGTGTGCACGAGAGGGGAAGGAACACGCTGTTGCACCGGGTCGAGATCCTGGTGAGATTTGAGGGTCACTGGAGGAGAAGAGGAGGAAGGAGGTAGGGAAGGAGGAGAATCAGAAGTAACCGAGTTCGATTTCCCTCCACTTGACTCCTCCTTCTCCTCCTTCCCCCCGGTACTGTTGGACTGTTGTTTCCCGGTACCGGTGGCTTGTTGTTTCCCCGTCTTGAATCTCTTCTGCCTCCGGAGGTAACAGCCGTTCTCGAACATGTTCCCGGAGTCAGGGTGCAGCGCCCAGAAAGAGCCTTTCCCAGGTCGGTCCGGCAGCCGGGGAACCTGGAAGAACAGACAGGGAGGAAACAGTTTCATCACAACTGGGTCTTTTTATTCTGCAATATTCTTTCAGTCACAGTTGCTGAAAGAAATACTGAAACGTAAAACTGTTATTGTTTTACACCAGGGGGGTCACATACAGAAACATGTACGAAGGGCTCCTCACTGGAGGTATTGTAGGTGCCATAATGCTACTTAGCCCAAGTTCAGTGTTGAGCACTTCCGGTAATTGTCACATGGGTGTGGTCTATTTAAGTCACCTGTTTGATGTCCAGTGGGACGACAGAGGGTGAGCTTGTGCTGTCATTTTTTCTGTTGACCGTTTTGTCCATAGTTTCTATGTTTTGATTTTCTTTATTAAATATCCTTAAAACTATCTTGCTTCAATACGGACTTTCTCTTCGAAAACGCGTCACGGTTTAGAGCCAAGTTTAGCCTCTCGGCGACTCTGGGGATTGAGCCGCCACAGGCCTCATAAAGTGAGTTATACGTCAGCAAAATCAATCAAATGTAGATACATGATTACATCAGAGCTCTCCTTTAGGAAGAAGGGTCTATTTCAAGCTTGTTATGTCATTAAGTCATTGGGCTTTTTCTTCACATATATACTTCAGAAGTACAAGACAAGCTCAAGTGTTATTTGTGGGCCATATTTTATTACACTTTTTGAATTAGCTGAGGTCCGATTCAAAATGGTCCGCGGGCCGCATTTGACCCTTGTTTTACACATTCGAAATAAATCAAAATGAAATAAAATCCCAAACCTTGATGAAGCAGTCGTTGAAGGAGAGCGAGTGTCGGATGGAGTTCTGCCACCGCTGCTGGTTCTGCCGGTAGAAGGGGAACAGGTCTGTGATCCACGTGTACAGCTCGTTCAGGGTGAGCATCTTGCAGGAGGACTGCTGCAGCGCCATGGTGATCAGAGAGATGTAGGAGTACGGGGGTTTAGCGTGAGTGTAGCTCCTCCGGTACGGCTTGGGCTCCCGAACCTGACCGTACACCGGGCTGCGGTACGACAACCGGTACACTTTGCTGTCCTCACTTCCATCCTGCAGAGGGAGAACAAATCATCAATACTACGCACACGGAAAACACTGAACAACAACAATACTCTCTGTGCTGTCCTCCACTCCGGCCTGCAGAGGCATATCATAAGACATGTCTGTTGATGTTACACATGGAGCTGCTGTGATGCAAGGAGCATCTCAAACTGGATTCAAGATGCAAGGCTTTTATTGTCATGTGTGCAGTGTAGTTATGTCAATGACAATCTGAGGTCACAGGCTCCTCCAACACAGCGACGCAAAGTAAATACAAAGTAAATAGAATAGAAATAGTGCAGAATAGTCTCTATACAAGTCATTGGAATATTGAAGTTGCAAACAGGTGAATGTTATGGATGTTCTTTCAAAAGTTCAGGTGTTTAACAGTCTGATGGCCTGTGGGATGAAACTGTCCCTTAAAGTATTATCGTATCGTTATCATACACACACACACACACACACACACACACACACACACACACACACACACACACACACACGCTAAAGGCTCTTTGAGCAGCCTTTCTCTCAGTGATCCTGCTGTGTCGGTAGATGTTAGACATGGAGCTGCTGTGATGCAAGGAGCATTTCAGACTGGATCTGACCATTAAAGTATTATCGTATTGTGTCTTATAACAAATCATAAATACAAAACACACTGAAACAACGTTGACTTTAATTAAATGTATTATGTCGCCACATTTGACATAATTAGGCAAAAATATTCATTTGAACTGAATATTTAAACTTAATAGTCTTGCTTTCAACTAACCTAATACATGTGAAATGTGTTGACATAATACACCTGTTCTTTATTTGACGCAGCATGTTGGGTCGAATAAAGAACCCAACATACATTTCATTGAAGTCAACGGTTCAGTTTTTTGTGCGGTACGCTAAAGAAAACACACATGGCTGACACTACATACACCATTCACCTAATCTTGTCAAATAAATGTGTAAAAAGTACAATATGTTCCTCCAAATTGTAATGGATTAGAAGTATTAAGAAGCATAACATGGAAACACTCAGGTACAAGAATAGTACTTGAGTTAATGTACCATTGGGATAGCCGTTTCATACTTTTTTTTATTGACTTAAATACATTTTAATTTACCATTCAAACTAAAATAGTGAGCAATGCCTTGGTGTCCTTTGGACAAAAACAACATACAATGTAGGAAATGTCATTAAAAAGTCATACTAAATAAGCCTATGTTATATAGTTTTACTCAGAATACCTATAAGTACATTTTACAACGCAAACTACTTACACTTAAGAAGTTTTGGTTAAGTTACGTTTTTGTACATTTCCTTAGATTTTACTTAAGACATTTGCACCTAAATACAAATCGTTACTTGCTATACCTTTTATTGCATACATATTCATATTTAAATATAATGTATTCTCCGTATAACATCAAATGCATGTTTTACACTAAGGCTATAGTCAAAATAATGGCCTGATAAAGCTCTCTATAATAAAGAATAACCACTTAAATGTAGGAAATGTCCTTAAAAAGTCCTATTTAATTAGCCCATATAAAAGGTTGAGTGTAAAATAATGACCTGATAATGCTCTCTATAAAAAATAATAACCACTGTTATAATTCATCATTACAACTTAAATAGTGAGGTACACATTTGGTGTAATATGGACAAAAAATTCAATAAAATAGCCACTAAAATGTAGGAAATATAATTAAAAAGTAATATTAAATTAGCCTATGTCTTTAAAAAGTTTAGTTTAGTAAACATTATTACCTGATAATGCTCTCTATGACACAAAAAGAATCACTAAAATGTAGGAAATGTCATTAAAGTCCTATTTAACACATCACACACGTTTAAAAACAAAAGCCAACGTGTACCTGATAATGCTCGCTGCTGAGCCCCTGCGCGCTCCCGTACGGCGGCGCGCAGCCGGTGCTCGTGCCCGGCTGCAGCGCGGAGCTCAGGCCCGGAATCATCCCGGTACCGGAGCCGGTGGGGGGGTGCGAGAGACCGGGAGGCACCGGGGCCGTGTGCACCGGGTTCATGTAATGCGCGTTCATGTGTCCGCTGCCGGTCATGCCAGGCGCGTTCATGTAGCTGCTCATTGAGTTCATGTTCGCTGCTGCGGAGTAACACTGAAACACAGAGACATCACATATTAAAACCGCGTTAAGGATTATTTTATGGGCGTTTATGATACAACATAATGTGTTAAGGTTCAATATAAAAAAACAACATGAAATATCAGTTAAATTATTCACAAAAAGTCAGAAAAAACATTTTTAAAATGCCAATAATTCAACAAAAAGATTGGGTTTTTTATGCTCTGAAAATATAAAATACATCATAAGGCTTCAAATACATTGTTTTGCATTATCTATTGATTATAAAATTCATTTATTTGGTATAAAATCTCCTAAATGTGTTAAAAATGACATCATAATGTTGATTATAGGCAATTTCTTTGTCCAAAAACTAACGATATTCTGTTTTTTAAAATCATATGACAATGAAAAGCAGCAAAGGTGTCATTGGAGAAGCTGCACATTTTAGTAAAATGTTATATTTTAGACTTCAGATCTGATATTTTGAACATGCTGTTTAATTATAGTTAAAATGTGCCTGTATAAAAATGTTACACTCACATATAACTGAGTTAACAGAAAGCTTTCCTTTTGAATGACCAGGTTTCTCTGAGTAATAAAGCTATAATTGCATTTGGACCAAGCTGATAATCCACACATAATATGCTTGCTTGTATTTGATCACATAATGAGCTGAAAATACACATTTAATTGAAGCTTATATATATTAATAAAAGGCCTTTTAATCCCACCTTTTAAAGACATGTGACAGGGCCAAAGATCTCCACGTATACTTCCTGCCTCTTTAATCTAAATTCAGCATTTTTTACAAGTTGATTCTCTTAAAAAGGACAATTACTAACTTAAATAGGACTTTAGGTGAATATAATTGTATAATGAATTAGGTTAAACATCCCAATTCTCATCAGGAAACATCACGGTGAAAAACAGGCCTCTAATATTTGTTGTTCCTCATTTTTTGGGCCTAATACCCATGTTGCTAAATTTAAATAATAAATACAGAGATATACATTCAGTGTCTTCCATCCTGAGTATTTATATATTATGTATTGTTGTAATTAAGCTTGATGATAAGTCTGTTTGCTCAGTATTTGTGTATGGCTGTAACACCTTATTTAAAGCCTTCAGTTTAGACTTGCCCTAATGTGTATAGTGCTATAACAACATTTAATTAACCATTTAAACCTTATGAATATATCATATATCATGTCATTTTACTCGTTTCCATAACAAACCACTGATTTTAATTCAATATATTCCACTGTCAGCCTGCACTGAATTAACAAGCATTAGGCCGGTGTCAAGGATGGTCAAAATACAAACAAAAAACAACATTTTAAGATGAGAAATAACAAATATAAGCTTCAATATGAACTTAATTAAAGAAAACAGCGGTTGAGAGTTATTTCTGGACGTTTTTAATGATTGAATTTCCATTTTCGCTGCACAATTCATCCACTGCAGAAACAAAGGTTGCTAAATGTGAAAGAAATACATGGAATTTAATAATTGTAAAGGCTTTACCAAAAAGACAAATAGCCTTTTTAACAAATAGCAATTGTAGAATAATGATTAATAATTGTATTTTCTTGCGTAATGCATATGATAAACAGGCCTTTACGTGTTTATTTCTTTAGTCAAACTCCCATAATGTCCATTTAGATGTATTTATATTTACAACTCAACACCCAAAGCAACACAACACAGCAATGCAAACCATTCAACAATAATATTTAGATTTATTTCCACTTTTACACTGCTGCAAATATCCATTATTTGATTAATTATCCGCTCTGAAATGCCTTAAAATAAATGTTCATTTCTTCGGTCAAACCCCTATAAAGTTCATTTAGATGTTTTTCTATTCATAACATTTCCCCTAAACCAAACACACACAGCTATATGCAGATAATTCAACAATAATATAGAGGTGTTATCACTCTTTCGAAGGCTATATTCATTGATTAATTGGTGCTATAAAATGTCCGCAATGTTGTTTGTTTTGTCGAAACCCCTTTAAAGGACTGGACTTCAACTCCCACTGTAGCCTACATTTTACATGTATGTTCAATTTAATATCGAATAATCAATTTCTTGCACAATAATATCCTTTGTTACTTTGTTATGTGCATTTTCCACATATGTATTTTTTAACTTTTTAATGCTATTTTATTTCTATTTCAGAAATATGTTGGACTCTTTATTTCTAGTGTCTTAATCTCTCTTATGTACAATGCCTTGTTTTTTATGCTGCTGCAACGCAAACATGTCCCAAATTGGGATCAATAAAGTATCTATCAATCAATCTATATATCTATCTATCTAAAGTTAATTAAGAAGTTTATATTTTTGTTTTTTTCCACCCAGTTTTTATTCGGTGATATTTCAGCGGGGCTTCCCTCTGAGTGTACCCGGGACAGAGTGCACTGACCTCGGCCTCTCCGTAGTAGCTGCTCCCGCTCCACTCCGGAAGATCCTCCATCTTAACGGCGCTCAGCATGACTCCAACATCCAAACGGAAAATAAAACCCAAATAAAGCGGGAAACAACGGTTCCTTTTATCCGGTGTATCCTGGATGTCCTACTATGACCACCGGGGGGGAAAGCTCCTCATTCCCGGCTAGAAACAGGCAGAGTGACCGGTGTCCGCGAGGCACTCTCTGACACCTGTGCTCGCGGAGCCTGCAGCGGCCAATCAGCTGCCTTCATTTCACTCCTCGAGCTCTCACTCTCTTGATTTGAATATTCCATCAACACCTCGGCACGAGACTCCCGCCCCGTGGCCTCACAGAGAGGTGACAGTAAATAATGACGTCACTTTTATGCACCTTTTAGTAATGAAGTACTCTCAATGCATGAGGTTAAGTCTCTGTTAATTAATGGGTAGAAAAGACACTTTTTTCTTATTTTTCACGTGCAATTCCTTTTTTAAATGATGTTAAAAAACAACTCTTCAATTTGGGCTTAATAAAGCATATCAAAGCATCTAATCTAGTCTTAAAATATGGTTTAATGTGCATAAAATACTGTACTTTTAAAGTGATGGTTTTACAAAATTAGTACAGAAGTAAAACGTACTCAAACTTTCAAAAGTAAAAGTAATGCAGAGAAAATACCTGCATGTCTTCACCAGTTTGTTGGGTTTTGTGAGTGTGTTTTGATCCAAATAACAAAGGAAATGTGAGTTTTTTGGTCCTTTTTGACATCAAACATCGACAAGCCTCGTCTCATTTCTTGTTTGAGTGATTTAATGTCATTATAAACCCCCCCCCGCTGTTGTTAGCTGAGACATTTCATCTCTCCAGTGGACGAGCAGGTCCATATTAAACTGCCCACCACTGCTGCAATGCATGCTGGTCTTTCTTTTGGTTCTGTTTGCTGTGTTACAGATAAAGTCATCCCAACATGTAATAAAAATCAACAGAAATCACGCTCAAATTCCCTTCGAATGAACCCAAATCAGGCTTTCATTAACCCTTTACTGCCTGTGTCTATATAGTTATATATTCCAGAAAGGACCCCCATGATAACCCCAAATATCTTCCTGCTGCTGTCCATGCTGATGCTTCTGCAGATCCAAATATGTATATGTGCTTTTGTGGAGATGTCCCTGAACATGAGCTGATGGAAAACTAACCAAAACACCCTCAAACTCATTTAAAAATGAACAAAATGAGGCTAAAATAACTTGTACTTCCTGTCTAATTATCTGCATTTACTGCAGTTAGATTTCTCCCAAACCATCCTCAGATGTGTCTCTGCTGCAGTGCATGCTGGTCTACCTCTTGCTCCTGCATATCTACACATGTATCTCTGTGTTTAGAAGGATTGTGGCAAGTTAAATATAAAAAACAAACAGAAATCTCCCTAAAAAATGAGTGGAAAAAACCAAATAAACTCATTAACCCTCCTTGCTTGTCTTCACTGCAGTCAGATATCCTTAATATCCCAGTTGACTCCCAAACCACCCTTACATGTCTCTGCTGCAGTGCATGCTGGTCTACATGTTGCTTTGAAGATCTACTAACTGATGTGTGTGTTTCTATTGATTGTGGCCATTGAACCCTAAACTTGTGAAAAACTAACAAAAATGACGCCAAATGAACTCATACCTTCTATTAACCTTCACTAGCTGTCTTTGATGCAGTTATATTTCCTATTTTTCCCTGAATGGACTCCCAAATAACCCTCAAATGTGTCCCTCCTGAAGTGCATGCTGTTTCTAATGCTCCTAATTTGCAAACACCATTTTTCAACCATCAGAAATGTGTAGAAAATGAACAAAAATCACACAAACTCTGAGACTTCCAGCATGTTAGCATTTTACTGCAGGAGTTAACAAGCAGAGTGTCTGTGGGATCTTCCTCTTCCTCTTCCTCCTCCTCCTCCTCCTCCTCCTCCTCCTCCTCGCTGCAGTCTTTACTGTGTGTGCTTCTGACGGTGTGTATTTACCTGCTGCTGAATCTGAAAGGCGACACACACACGGTACACACACACAGCGAGGACCACCATGATCTCTGCACACACACAACCTGTCCTCCCTGTGTGCAACTCAAACAAATCCACATATTTTCACCTTTTGTCCTCCGCCCTGAAACTGTCAGCAGGAGAATAAAAGGCTGATATATCTGCGAGAGGTGCCGCAGAAGTGTAGGGAGCACTAGTTAGGGATTGGAAAACAACTGGAGGTCGATTGGATTTGATTTTCACTCAAAATGAAGTGTTTTTCATGGGATTTTCAAAAGAATATATGAAATTACAATCGATTTGAAGCCTTCCTCGAGTCCCCTGTCCATGCAGACTCACATATAGACAAATAGCTAGAGTAAGGAGAAGTATTTAGATATTTAACTTAGGTAAAAGCACCATGTAAAATACTCCGGAAGATAAACCTTCTGCATTCAAACTGTATTTAAATAAAAGCAGTATCAGCTAAATGTTGGCTAATTAAAGTCTAAATGCATTTTTGTGTTTTACTATTTCCAATGATGTTACCCTGCGAAAAGAGGAAATATATTTGTACTCAGAATGTATGTGGTGTTTTTTAAGCTATTAACAGCTTCATCCCATGCAGTTTGGCTTCAGGGCAAATTATTCAACCGAAACAGCCAACTGCTTTTTTATAGAAAAGGTCAAAGCAATTGTTGACAAAGGGAGAGGTGTTGTTGGTGCAGTATTCCTGGATCTACGCAAAGCCTTTGATACAGTCCACCATAAGGTCCTTCTGTCCAAACTGTGGGCTTTGAACTGCTCTCCATTAACACTCAGTTGGATTGAATCATACCTCACTGGTAGGCGTCAGCATGTTATCGTCAATAATCGACTCTCTCCAGCTCTAGACTTACGCACCGGAGTACCACAAGGTTCAATACTTGGTCCACTTCTTTTTTCCCTATATATGAATGACCTGCCATCTGTCTGTCCTGATGTGGAAACACAGCTATATGCCGATGACACTGTGATATATGTGCATGCCAACACAAAGCAAAAGGCTGCTGATAAACTGACCTCAGCTTTAGTGCTGGTCACTAGCTGGCTACACCGCTCCTGTCTTCAGCTTCATGTCAACTAAACAGTTGGAATGTTTTTCACAAAAAGAAAATGCAACATTGTGTGAAATATAAGCATCTCAGGTGAACAGGTTAACATTGTGCCTCAGGTGAAGCACCTTGGAATCATTATTGACTCTAATTTAACATTCAAAACACAAGTCAAAGAAGTGACCCAAAGAGTCAAGTTTAGCCTGGCACATTTTAAATACATAAGAAACACAATGACATTGAATTCTGCCAAATGATGCATGAATGCCACGAACACATCACATCTAACATCCTGTCTCACAAGCTGGGGGCAAACTAACAGCTCCACACTGAAGCCACGAGCAACCCTGTGCAAACAAGCCCTCAAAGTACTGGACCAGAAACCTAACCGCTCCCATCACTGTGCCATCCTCAACAAGCATAACATCCTGAGTTGGGAAGATTTAATAAAGTATAGGAACATCGTTCTGGTTTACAAAATCCTGCACCATACCGCCCCTCCACCTCTTAGCTCATTGGCTACTCAACGTAACAACACCAGACGGACCACTAGAAGCTCCACACGTGGCGACCTATCAGTCCCATTCAGGAAGAGGACTTTTGGTCAGTCATCATTCTCGGTCATAGCAATACACAACTGGAACTCTCTACCCACTCAAATCAAAGACACACACACACACACACACACACACACACACACACACACACACACACACACACACACACACACACACACACATCCCACCTTCACAGCTCACTTAAAAACATGGTTCACTGAGAACTACACCTGCACACACTAGTCTGTGTTGAATGGCGTGAGTGTTACATGTTGTGTTACATGTTGTGTTACATGTTGTGTTACATGTTGTGTTACATGTTGTGTTACATGTTGTGTTACATGTTGTGTTACATGTTGTGTTACATGTTGTGTTACATGTTGTGTTACATGTTGTGATCATGTTGTGTTACATGTTGTGATCATGGACGTTGCCCCTCGTTGATGTGATTGTGATGTGCTCTGTGTGACATGTACTGTATATAGTAACGTGTGTTGTTTATTGTTCTCTTGTATCCTCACACCGGTATCTACTTGTCTTTCCTCCTTTTTATTTTATTTTATATATTTTCTTATAACTAATGCTGTTGATATATTGTAATTTTAAGGGTGTCTGTTACCATCTGGCCGGGGACAACAGCTGGAAATTAGCCATGTCGGCTAAAGCTGCACCATTTACTGTTTTTGTGACAGTTCATCGACGGGGACTCTCCACGACACTATCAATAAATAAACTAAACTAAACAGTTTTCTAAAATGTACCTTTTTTATTACATTTTCCAATAATAACGTTTAAAAAATTGCATTAGATTTGCCTTTTATTGTGTTAAGTATACGCCAGATTGGTGCTTTTATAGACAATAGTATCTATTTGTACTTATTTTGTTATTTGTTATTTCTACTTCTTAGTTCTTTATTTATCTGTATTCATTTTCTATGTATTATTGTGTAATAATGTAATATTTCTCCTCTTGGATCAATAAAAGCAGATTTAATCTTTATTTCATGGCTTAATTTAGCTTTTTTCACATGTTTTTTAAGGATCAATGCCTGTTTTTTTCCTCACTAACCAATAAGTATTTTAACTTGAGTCTTTTCCCAGGTGTGTGTATACCTTTTTGCACATTTGTGAACACACTGCCACCTGCTGGTGAGCTCCTGCAACTACAGCCACATAAAACCACATTTTAGGGACAGAGTTACAGAACAAAGTAATACAAAATGGTACAAAAATACATTTTATATGATTTTTTGAGATAAATGGCTGAAGAATATATGCTTTTTAAAGATTTGTGTCATTTGTATTGCTTTAAAATACCATACATATACATATTCTAATTGTTCTACTTTTGAATTCTGTAATTTTACACAGATAATGAGTTTATTATTACTATCCCAGTGTGCATTGGCTATTTTAAATCATCAATTTCAGAATTAGGACCACGATCCAGATCTTCAATTGATTTACGAATCGCGCTTCTGTTGTTTGTACCAACCGATCTTCCGTACTTAGAACGTATTAGCCGTTAGCTTCTCTTGTACAACTCAAGGACGTCTGACAACATTTCAGGGTATTTTAACAACTTCTAATGCTTTATTTCATATATTAAGACTCATTCAGTAGTTTTCTCTGTGTCGATACTGAATGTGAATTTATTGAAGAGTCGCAAAAACGAGGTTAAAGGGGTAATTTGGGTGAATTCATGAAGGCTAAATCTAAGCTAAAACTATCTACAGGCTAGGAGTTAGCTAGTTATGTGTTTATAACGTAGTGGTTACAGTTATGATGGGAAATGGACGGAAGACTTAGTTTCTATGAATGCATGGAATTGTTTTTAGCTTAAATTAGTAAAAGCAGCAAAATGTGATAAAAGTATACACATTTAATTTATTTATTGTAATTTGTGACTCAAATACTGTACTTAAGTACAATGTCGAGGTACTTGTACTGCATTTGAGTATATCATTGTTTGCTGCTTTGTACTTCTACTCCACTACAATTCAGATCTTTAGTTACTTTACAGATTTGGATTCATTTGTGAAATATAATCAACACTTAAATCAGACTTTATTAAATGCACTACTTGTATCTACCTCTTAGAGGCACTGCTTTCCACCTGTCAAACCAATACTGCACATGTTCATATTTTATTTGATTATTTTTTATTTTGTGGGTATATTTAATCTTTATGTCATGTAAATATTGCTATATTTTAAAGTTATTATAGTTTTTAATCATCGTTTTATTTTATCGTCCTTTTCTTACCACGTATCTTCTTTAACTGTCTTTTATGTCTGCACCAAATGCACCAAGGCTCATTCCCGGTATGTGTAAACCTGTTTCCTTTATGAAAAACTCTTTTTACTAGCTTCCATGTTCAGAATCAGAATACCTTTTATTCCTTTATATTTATTAAACACCGAGAGGGCTAAAGTACATCCTTTACTCAAGTAGAAGTACAGATACTCGTGTTTAAAAATACTCTGGTAAAAGTAGAAGTACTGACTAAACTTCTTTACTCAAGTAAAAGTATAGAGGCTTTGAAATGTACTTCAGTAAAAAGTACCCATAACTAGCAGCTGTTTTAAAGAGTACCTGACCTCCCTTTATATTAATAGAACAATAATGTCATTGTTAGCTAATGAATGTTTCCATGCTGAACAACGGCAACATGACAACGTTTCCATTGGTCCCTCTTCTTTAGAGAAGACCAGGAAATGATGGATACACGGATCGTGTTCAAATCAATAGGCACGCAATGACTCTAAAGAATAGGGATGCTCCAATCGCCAATTTTGGGGCCGATCGCCGGAATCAGTGTCGGCCGATACCGATCGAGTGGGCGGGGCCTAAATGGAAGATTTAAACATCACTTTAAATCTTCCATTTAAAGTGATGACAGGCAGTGTCTGCTGTGCGCACTCAAGGCAGAGAGGAGGGGCACTATTCCCTGTACTTCCTGGTTCCAAAGAAGACAGGCGAATTCAGGCCTATTCTGGATCTTCGCAGCCTGAATCTCCACATTGCACGCAGAACATTCCAGATGTTAACTATAAAACAGTTACTGGGACTGGTGCAGCCAGGCGATTGGTTCAAAACCATCGACCTGAAGGATGCTTACTTTCATGTCGAGATTGCTCCGAAACACAGAAAGTATTTGCGTGTAGCCTACGAGTACTTACAGGGCTGAGGACGCTCTCCGTTCGCTTATGGTCGGAGGGTGGGAGCCCTCAGCGCTGTTTTCCGAGCACACCTTCGCGAGGTAAGCGCGTCAGAGTGTGCTCTGTCAGCAGCAGCCCCAACTTCTCCACGGTTACGACCGAGGGAAAGGTGAGTGAGGCGCAGCGGCTGCTAACCAGAAAGCCGGTCAGAGACAGGGAGATGGAACAGTGTTGTTGTGGGACGACAGCGTGTGTATACACAGCCTGTGAGCAAGCCCGCCTTAACCTGCCATCAGGCCCTGGGGCTGATAGGTTTTGTAGGCCCCCTATTTAAACAACAAGTCAAAGTCATTTATAGCCTCGGCAGGTTCTGTGATCGCACTTCTCCACTCTGCTCTATGCGCGCCTGGTCCTCTCCTCCAGATGAGTGACGTATCGGGCCTCCCTCATGTATCTGTCCGGTTGCCGTTAGCTCCCCTCCACGTAGCAAGTCCTCGTCGTCCTCTCATCTCCTCCAACAGATAATGTCCCTCCTGTCTGTTTTTCCTCTCCCGCTACTCCATCGCTATCAGAACCAGACGGCCTACTTGGCTCCGAGGCCCCGCGGCCGGCACCGCTGCCGCTCGGTACAGAACTCATCTGTCCTTCCTCCTCATCCTGGCCTACAGGTTTAAAACAACCTGTAGGCTTCGGCATGTTTTTGTAATAGCTGCTTGTCTCGAAACTCCTTTTCCCTCAACAATTTCCTTTCCCGAGCGCCTCCTAAACAACCTTCATCTGTCACTCAATCACTCGCAATTTGAATAAGTCACATGTGAAACATATTCTCATTCTGATTGGCTGTTAGGTGGTGCCCACTGACTGTTACTGAGTCATCTCTGGAATCCATCGATCTCATTGATTAGCGGAGCAAATGATCAAAATACTACGGAGGGAAGATATTTTCGTTTGGATTACTGGTCTGGGGGAAGCTCGTGTGTGTGTGTGTGTGTGTGTGTGTGTGTGTGTGTGTGTGTGTGTGTGTGTGTGTGTGTGTGTGTGTGTGTGGTGTGTTGTGTGTGTGTTGTGTGTGTGTGTGTGTGTGTGATGTGTGTGTGTGTGTGTGTGTGTGTGTGTGTGTGTGTGGTGTGTGTGTGTGTGTGTGTGTGTGTGTGTGTGTGTGTGTGTGTGTGTGTGTGTGTGTGTGTGTGTGTGTGGTGTGTTGTGTGTGTGTGTGTGATGTGTGTGTGTGTGTGTGTGTGTGTGTGTGTGTGTGTGTGTGTGTGTGTGTGTGTGTGTGTGTGTGTGTGTGTGTGTGTGTGTGTGTGTGTGTGTGTGTGTGTGTGTGGTGTGTGGAGAAACAGCGGCTGTTGTTGTGCCTGCTGTGACGTTAAGTTAATCCGTTCTCTGCTTGTAATTATGCCGAAGCTTCAAAGTTGTATTTATCTTCTGAATTTGTCGAAACAAGTTTAATATTCTGAAAGCCAAGACTTTGTTTATTTGAAACCAGATGAAAACAAACTGTAACGGACCCTGCCGTGTTATCTATGATTACTATACGCCTTACATTCATAATGTCAGCCGGAGGGCGGCGCTGCGGAAGAGCAGAGTGGCGAGGGAGAGCTGTCTTCTTCCCTTTACAAGCTTCAAAAATGTATTTATCGTGTGATTTTGGAAATAAAAGTTTCATATTCTGAAAGCCAAGACTTTGTTTATTTAATTATTTTTTGTATTGGCTCATGATAGGCCCCTGATCTCCGTCGGCCCCTGGGCTTCAGCCCAGGTCAGCCCGTGCATTAAGGCGGCCCTGCCTGTGAGAGATATAACGAGGGGTTACGTATGGTAACCCCTCGTTATATAAACACAGCCCTCTACTCGGGGGGCCTGTCTGTCCTATGCTGCTTGCTGAAGAGAAGTGTAGGATGACAGTCAGGAGGCGAGGCCTCCTTTTATGCGGTGAGATGCGCGAGCATTCAGGTAGGCCCGCCCCGGGGCCGGCTACGTCTAGAAAGTCTCAGTGGATGAATGCTTGCATGATATGATCAAGGGGAGTACCCATAGAGTCCAGTAGAGGGCGGAGCCTGTGTTTATATAACAAGGGTTACCATACGTAACCCCTCGTTTTCTCCCCAGATGCCTCTGAAAAACTATTTTTACCAGCTTCCATGTTCAGAATCAGAATACCTTTATTCCTTTTAAATATATTATATGTATACTAAGTGTGTTTCTGTGTGTTTTCCCTCAGATGCCTCCTAACCCAGCCTCCCTGGCTCCTCTGGCTAAGACTCTGATGAAAGGAGTGATCGTGGTGGAGCTGCTGGGCGTCTTCGGGGCGTACGGCCTGTTCTACAAGATGAACGACAGTCAGGGTATCAGACGGAGATTTATTTATTTAAAGATGTGTCTTAGGGAACTTGAGAATACTAAAGCTGTGTTGAGTGACTTTAAAACAACCTTCATCTCGTCTTTTTCCTGTTCTCCTAATAATACAAAGAGCTTAATTATCCTTATCGTTTAGTCGCTATGTTATATAGATTCAAGATATCTGTTTAACGTCATATATATATATATATATAAGGTATAACAGGCAGTTGGACTGTACAATGAAATTCTAACATTTCAGCTCTCCACAGCTGAGTGTTGAGAAACTACATACAAACATACAAGATAAAAACTAGCATATAAGACATTTTTTTAAATATAAGCCGACGTACACTTAAAGAAATCCTGTCCTGAATTAAAGTGCACTCCAGTTGATCGATATCCAGCTAACTGAATATTAAAAACAACCTTCATCTCGAATGTTTCCTGTTCTCATATTAATACACATTTAAAGTAGTATCTTAGGGAACTACAGAATACTTAAAGCTGTGTTGAGTGACTTTAAACATCCTGTTTTACTCCCATAATGTGCAGATTTCAGGAGCACCATGAACAGGAGGCTACCGTCCGTTCTGGAAGGTGAGCAGTTCTTCAGTCTTTTTACGACATACTATACTATGACTTTTTTTTCGTGTTTTGTTAAAGATAGTCGTTACTGTTATTTAAAAAAAAATGTACGACAAACTAAAAATAAAACCCTCTCTCTTCTCCTCCGTACCCAAATCTCTAAAAACGGGGAACAACGGAGCTGATCCAGATTTGCGTCCGATATGACGTAATATCTGAAATGTGGACCCACGGCCCAATCAGAAACGTTGCTATCAGAAACAATGCCTGACTGTTTTGGACGTAATATGGTCGGTGTTTACATTAGCATCGCTAACACTCAGAGCTAACCTGTACTGGAGAGCATGTGTGTGAAGAAGCAGGAAGTAAAAAGGAACTCAGCTTGTGGTATAACCGGCAAGAGAGAAAGCCTTTGAGCTCCAAACTGTTTCAGAGAGAATCCTTGATAATCCATGATATGGCGTTTCATCACGGCAGCATTTAGTTTAGACAGTAGCTGCCGGGTCCCGCATGAGCTCAGCCCCCTCCTCTTTAAAGCTTTATACCCGAATCAGCACTTTAGAAACAGGAAGTGAAATAGAGGGATATGAGGCATGGCTAGAATGATCTGTTTGGTATTTGGAGCAAAACACTTCATAGACATGTTTTATATATATTTATATATATCTGAGACCTGTGCTATTGCCTAAAAATCGCACGATAGGTGACCTTTAAAAAATGTGACAACATTTTATCCTTTTTAAAGTTTTGTGACTTTTTCTTACAACATACTTTACTTTGACTTTTTTTGTGTGTATTGTTAAAGATACACTATACTGTTGTTTTAAAAATGTTTTACTACAAACTATACAAATATTTCATTTTTTTCTGCGTCAAACTATACTAGGACATTTGCAGTAGGGCTGCACGATAATCGCGATATTCACATCGCAGGATGTGCACTTTTTTTTAAAAATATTTTTTTTTAAGTAGGCAAATTAACTCAAACACGTCACGTTATAATTATTTTGCTGCTTGCTACGAAAGGAAAACTCGCGCGGCTCTCATGTCAGGGGTACTTAAGTGAGTGACATGCAGGCTCTGCGTGCACAGCAAACCACCAATCACAACCATTCTTGATCAGATCACAGCAGGATAACCGAGCTAGCTCAGCTTGTTGCTCTGATAACTTAAGACCCAGACTTCGTTAAATATAGTTAGAAAAATACCAATTGTATAGCATTAAAGTTCAAGAGAGGATGGTTTGCGGGGGAAAACTGTCTTTTCGTCAATTCCTGTTTTTTTTCATATCTTAATATTAATGCTGTCAAAATTATCGCGTTAACGGCGGTAATTCATTTTTTTAATTAATTGCGTTAAAAATATTTAACGCATTTAACGCATGTGCAGAATGGCCCGCCCCATACATCCCACCAGTGGCAGCGCCAGGGTATGGCTGGGGTACGCTACACCCATACCAAGAAATGGCTTAGCCCCACCATGAACAATGATGTTAAAGTAAGCAAAATAAAGTCTGCCAACTCGCGGAGTAAATTGCAGACAGCAGTTAGTCAGATTGATTTCAGCCACTTGTCTGGAAATACCGAAGACCAGAAACGGTTTTGAAAACTTTTGTCACGTAGTGATCGTCTTCTCAATAGAACATCTTTGATAATGTCTTCTGGCCAATCAGAATCAAGATAACGGCATTGTGTTGTTGCAGGAAGTCCCAAACGGAGAATACTTTTGCTGTAGTACAGGGGTGCACACAACTGGTACGCAGGTTATGTGCGTAATCTGAAATGCTTACCGTCACTTGTGTCCAGGGGCGGTTCTAGGGGGGGGCAGTGCCCCCCTAACACTGACCTCTGACCCCCCTAACACTGACCCCCCTGTGGCCCCCCTAACAATGAAAAGTTTTTTTTTTTTTGAAATGTATATTTTCTGGTACTCAGGATTTTGTTGCTGTAATGTGAGATTGTGCAGACACCCTTATGTAAAGTAGAGATGTAACTGTTCATTGCCTTTATTTTTATATAAATATGGTGTTAGTGCAAACATTGCACTATAACTGAAGCTAACAGTAATAACTATAAGATCTATCTGAAATAAATAAGTGTACTGAAACAAATACCAATAACTGGATTGCATTGTTTTCTTATGCGCAATTACTTCATACTGTCTAGTTCTCTTTTTCGTCCTGCATTTATTGAAATGCCACCCTCAGAAAATAACTGGCCCCCCCAGTCATATTGGTCTAGAACCGCCACTGCTTGTGTCACAAAGCGCATTTGCGTACCAACGTACTTGTGAAGCTTTTCCAGAAGGCGGTTAGATCACCGGACGACAGAGTCGGTCTCCGTGTGCACAGACAGGGCTGCTGTTAACGTCGGTCTGTACAACGCAATTGTGCCAAAACTACGCCAACCGGCTGCGGAGGGAGACTCCCCCCTTCACTGGAGAACTGCGCTAAAACAGCTGATCACAACGTTCACACTCTGTGGTCACGAAGTACTCCACTAGCCCCCCCTGTTAATAGAAATCAACACGTAATGAAATAAGACCCCCCGGTTTGATTGATAGGTGTGTGGGCTGTCTTTCATTTTGACACAGAAATGTTTTATAATAAACATACATACTGTGTTAAATGGATATATCCTTCTTCCATTTATCTTTCCATTCCCACAAGAATATACATAAAGAAATGGCATATTTTGGACATAGTTCGAATGGTGATTAATTAATTTTTAAGCTGTGATTAATCTGATTAAAATTTGTAATCGTTTGACAGCCCTATTTAATATATATCGCAGGGGGAAAAAATATATCGCAATATCGTGCAGCCCTAATCAGTAGTTGAAAAGTACTTTTTGACCAACGTTTACAACCAACTATAGCGTGAGATGTAAGTCAGTCCCAGTATATGATTGCAGCCTCAAGGATGGAGAAAAGACAAAAACCCATTTAAATGTTTAATAATCAGGATTGAAGAAATGGGCAAAATAACTCGTATAATCACGCTTCAGAAAAGGGTAATAACTCTAATTCCTGTAGATGTACATGAAATCTGTTAAATGACAAACAGGGTGGCATACTTATGACATACTAGGCAATGACATGTTCATGTATTTATCAGCAGCCTCATAGATGGAGAAAAGTTTAATAACTTTAATTCCCGTAGAAGAAATCTGTTAAATGCGTCCATGAAAAACAGTCCTTTATCTTCACAGAAATGTCTCCTCTGTTTCCTCCCAGTTTACTACCAGTCCAACGAGTGGGCGGGGGTCTACGGCGTCCGAGAGAAAGACCTCGCCGCCTGGTCGGCCAATCAGGACTGAGGACATCCTCCAATTAAAAAAACCTCCACGATCTCACGACAGCCGCTACTACTTCCTCTTCCCGAACGTCTTTCCTCCCGTCCGCGGGCGACCGAACGCCTTCTTGTTCTTGTTGAACATGGTCTTCTTCTTCCTCATGGTCTTGGCGTCGCGGTCCTGCATCCAGTCGTCTCTGTTCGCCTCCCACTTCAACTGCTTCAGACCTGAGGGACAGACAGGAAGTGAGGGAAGACAGGAAGTGAGGGAAGACAACGGCTCTGGTTTCATGGATGTGATGTGACGAAGATTTCAACTTAAGCTGAAGCTATTTATACAAAGGATTAAAGTACAGATGCGCCAATGTCTAATTTCCGATGTTTAGAGTAACAGATTTACAGTTTTATTTATTCCATCTTCGTGCCAGGAAAACAAAATGTTTCAATAGTTTTTCAGGCCTTCATAATATATCTTTAAATGAGCACAAACTCTTTACTTGGCTGAACGGTTACCTTCTTATTGAGGAGGTTTGAAGTTCAAACACACGGTTGATTCTTGTTTTCCATCATCATCCATTATCATGTGAGACTTTGAGCCCAACATGAATCACACATATATATATATATATATAGCTACAGTCTTCTGTGTTAAAGCTGTTTCTCTGTGGAGAAATACATCTGGCTGGTATCCAGCTGACTGAATAAAAACAACAACCATCATCTTGTATGTTTCCCGTTCTCATAATTATCCATATCGTTTAGTTGCTATGTTTTAGAGATTTTACGTTTCAGCTCTGAGTGTTAAGGAACTATATATAAGATAAAAAGACAACATAATAAAACCCTTTCCCTGAATAAAAGTGCTCTCCTTTTGATCGATATCCAGCTGACTGATTTACAAAAACAACCTTCATGCCGTCTTTTTCCTGTTCTCATAAAAATACACAGAGCGCAATAATCTGTATTATTAAATTGCTATATTATAGATATCTTTTTATCGTCATATATACACAGTATAACAGGCAGTTAGACGGTCCAATTAAATTCTTACGTTATAGCTCGGCACAACTGAGTGTTAAGAAACTACATACAAACATATAAGACATTTTTAAATAACATTTAAGCGTACGTCGGCTTATTAAATATAAGCCGACGTACGCTTAATGTCCCTGAATAAAAGTGCACGAAAAAATACACTGAGCGCAATAATCTGTATTATTAAATTGCTATGTTATAGAGATTTTAGATACAGTTGCACTTTAGAATACAATTATTACGTCTCAGCACACCTGAGTGTTAAGGAACTATATACAAACATCCCGTCCCTGAACTAAAGCTTGCTGTTCGAGCTTTGTCTCTCAGGTGATCTTACCTGCTTTGTCGCTGTTGGCCATGGCGTTCAGGCCGGTGTTGTCAAACTTGGATCCGGCGTTCTCGTCCAGCATGGAGCCAAACTGGGAACAAGGATCAAGTCATGATTATTGATTAGTTTCATCCCACAGGCCACAAGACTATTAAAAACACCTGAGCGTTTTACTGATCCGTTTGCTAATTATTTATCTAATATATCATATTCCCTTTACTTGTATAGACTCTTCTTGCGCTATTTCTAGTTTATTTGTATTTACTTGCACATTTCCAAACATCCTCTGTTGCTCTCCCTGAGGTTTCTCCCATTTTTTCCCCTCAAACTGGGTTTTTCTCTGGAAGTTTTTCCTTGTACGATGTGAGGGTCTAAGGACAGAGGGTCTAAGGACAGAGGGTCTAAGGATAGAGGATCTAAGGACAGAGGGTCTAAGGACAGAGGGTCTAAGGACAGAGGGTCTAAGGACAGAGGGTCTAAGGACAGAGGGTCTAAGGATAGAGGATCTAAGGACAGAGGGTCTAAGGACAGAGGGTCTAAGGACAGAGGGTCTAAGGACAGAGGGTGTCGTTTTTCTCATACTGATATTCTGAACAATCTGTGCTGTTGTATTTGCTGTAAAGTGTCTCTACTGTAGGCTAATTTTATTATATGTTCAGCACTTTGGCTCGACCAAAGATCGTTTATAAATGTGCTATATAAATAAAACTTGATTTGATTTGATTCTCTTGCACTATTTGATCTGTTCTATGTCCTATACATATTCCTGTTGCTCTGTTGGAGGACGACTTAAGTTGTTCATTGCCATATCTAGACTGTAGCTAATAGAGTGGAGCAGTGACGAGTCCTAAAACCAGGAAGTGAGTCAGCATTTCACCACTTCCTGTTTCCTCGTCTCTGAGCCAATGGGATAGCTGGAACTAAGGTCTGTGGTTGAGACACATTGAAGACACGGATCACGTTTTGTTCTAGGACATTAAATCATCAGCAGTGACCCCACTGGTGATTTCTGAAGAGTGGACGTGTCTGAGAAACGATGGTTGTTACCAAGTGGCTGGATAGGACTACAGAAGTCGTGGAGGCCGTTGTACGTCATTACGCCGAACACGTGAACACTCCTCTAAGTTAGTTTCTGTTCTGCTTGAAAGCAAGTCCCTGCCTCCTGCAGACTGTTCCAACAAACGCTTCAACTCGTTCCATCTAGAATCTGTGTGTTTGAATCTGGATCTGAAGTCGGCGTGACGTTGAAGTCGTGCTGCTGGACTCGCTGTAGCTCCTTTATAGCATCACGTTAGCATTTAGCTTCTGGCCGTTAGATTTATGATTCGAACATTATAAAAGTAGACATGTGGAGATTATCCTGAACAAAACGTGCATTCATCAAACAGGTTCGTTTTCCACTTATTTTTTACAATATTCCAAAAATCCTCTGGAGAAATCCCGTAGCTTTTTATCGAGGGAACCAGCAGCTTACTTCGGGTAAATACGTCATCCCTGCACCTCTCTATGTGCACATGACGATAAAGCCTTGAATCTTGATAAGATCTGCTCTATTTGTTCGTCTTGGTTTGATCTAAATCTTTATTTATATGTAACATAATAAACGTACCTCTTCTGCAGAAGCAAACATGGCCGTGTCTTCCTTTCCCTTCTTCCTCTTCCCCTGCTTTGGACCTGAAAGGAGAGAAGAAACAAAAACATTAACTCACATTTTTCACAATAAGAGCAGCTTGAACATCATCCGTTTTCAAAATAAAGCACATTTTATATTTATATTTAATTGAATATCCCACTCCATGCGCACTTGATGTAAATAATATCCTGCTTATATTGTGTTAACAGAAAATGTGTGTTTTTATTTGTCAGGTTATAGATTTGTTGTCTTCACGGTCATCTGTATATTTTTCTTACTCTCTAATGCTGCTTTATTTCTATGGATGCTCCGATCGATCGGTGCTCTCTATAAAGGCCGATCGGGAGAGCCGATCACATGACGTCAAATACATGACACTTTCTCTAAACAAGCTCGCCAAAATGGCTTCACCGGTCTGGCAGTATTTTACATGGATGTTTAATAAGAACTGGATACAGCGTGGGAGGCGGGGTCTCGTTCTTTCCTATGAGAGCTGCTCATTGGCGCATGAGAGAGCGAAACGTCACAGATTACCCAGCATGCCTGGCTGTCAGAGCAAAATAACCGTATGTCCGCTCACAGAGCATGCGCCCCTTAAGCCCCGCCCCCTGAGCTCCCACTCTCGGCCCAGTAGACTGAATGGAGAGAGAAAATAAATCTAGATTCGGCTTTTAGTGCATTTTACAACTTTAAGGACCGAATGATTCTAATTAGGGCTATAACATAGTTCATACTGGGAAGTTTATTTAGTTACAAAAAAAGTATCCACTGATTTACAGACGTCTCTTTCCCCATGTTAGTCAATGGGAAAAAGTATTTCTGGGCCGGGTGACGTCACGGACTGATACAGAAGTTGCAGTACCGCTGTTTGGACACAACGAATATTTTCATCAGAGTGAGAGA